GCTGAGAAAAGTCGACTTTACTGGGAAAAATCGGAATTCTGCCCCCAATTTTCTTCATCAGAACTCAACTTTTACTCAATGAAAATATCATATTCGGAATCAGCGTCAAAAAATTGAGTCGAATGATACATATTACAAAATTTTTCGTTGCTTTTCATTTTTTGATGAAAATCTCAGTAATTATTAAACCAGATAGGTTTGCGAGATCCAGATGTCAGGGTATCCGGGGACCGTCCTATTCGAGCTGGTCGGGCAAGAATCAAATTCGCTGGTTTCTAAATAGTTGCACTTAATTTCTGATGCTGAATCTGAATAAAATATTTTCAACAACCTAGGTTAAACGTAAACTGGTGAAATCCTCAATTTTCCCGAAACTCGTCAAACTTTTGTTTTTTAGGCAGTAACTCTTGTATTTTTAAAATTTTTCACACAAAACTTGGTCTAAAAAAGTTAAAAATGACATATTCGGTATCGACTCCGTGAGCTCTATTCAACCATGTGTAAATCAAAGAGAAACAAAATCTGCTCCACTTTTGCATTTGGAACACCTTATAAAAAATCAGTATATACGAATTTCTGGCATTTATAAACATCATTTTTATAATGACAAATCTAATTTAGTGTTTTCGCCCTTCTCAACAGCTCATACTGGGTATATATTTTTGCTCTAAGAAATACCTTTCATAAGATTCAACTGCTCTATAAACTTATAATTTGTCTTCTATTTATGAATGAATATATTGTTACTTCGGTCTGTTTCAATTTTTTCATTTTTCAAAATAGCAACAGATCGAGACAAACATCAGCAGATGAAATTCATCTCACAACTTTCAACAACTGTCTATTAGTATCAGATTTCACATAGAAGAGTGTAGAATGAATTAGAATTTGTGCTGTAAAAATTTGTTGTGTGGCATATAGTAGAAAAATTAAAAATGTGTAGCAAAAATCTTAAAAGTGCCATGATGAGAGACTAGTATGGTAAAAGCTCTAAAGCGGATGTGATCATAGATAGCAAACTCAATAGGCATGAACTCCGGCAGACGTATGATAATCGACGACGTTATTAAAAAATTTATTTGAGTCTATCCCACTTCTGAGACACACTGTTACCCCACGCTAAGCCTTTCATATAATGGCTCTTGATGTTGGTACTACGCTTTTGACTAAGGAAGAAAGTTGTCTGTTTACTAGTCTTCTACAGGAAATTCAGAAGTATTTTTATATCTTAGTATGAGCGTTCTATTTCACCCCTTCTATGTTAGTACAAGTGTACATTTATTTAGTAGATCAATCGAAATAGCTTGTCTGTTTTCTAACAGTTTTGAACTTCGTTTGCTGTTTTACATGTTCACTCTCCTTGATCTTACCGGTAACATAATTTTTCTCTTTCTTTTTGCTCACTGATCGAACGATGATCTCTTGAACTTTTTTTTTGTCTATTATTTTGTTTCATTTGTATAAGAGCGAAAAAGACATGCAATTTTCTTTGTATGCATAAAAATTTTATTTTATTTTTCAGTAGTTAAAATTTGTTTCATAGAATTTGAATTTTGTAGCAGCAGTACAACAACTTATTTTTGTTTCTCTTCCTTTTAAAGTGTAATTTTTTTCATGCTTTTACACAAAAAAAATACTTCATATTTACTTGTTAAAATTAGTTTGTATATAAGATGAAATTTAGTTACACAAGATGTCTTGTCAATCAAACATATTTTTGAAGTACAAATATTTGATGAAACATATTTGAGCTTCCGGCTTAATACAGCAAAAATATTCCTAATTATCAATTAAAGTCAAATTAATTAATTGATTCATTTTCATTATGAAATTCCGAATTCATAACAAACTTTGTACTCAACAATATTAGGTGACTCATGTATCATAATATTCCGGAACTTAAAATTTTGTATTGGTATTTATCGTCAGAGAATTTCGATCATCCATCGAATAAGTTTTAAAAATTTTGCAAATAAACTCTTTCTAAAATATTTTGTTTGTTTTTTCTTTTTGAATGGTGAAATGCTATTGATGGTCATGGTCGTAAGAGATTATCACTTTATCAAGGTTGAATCTCCTCTATTTACGACATTAATTTCAAGTTTTAGTTAATTAAGAACCGTTCAGTCTATGATCAATATTATATTTTTGAGTCTTGTTTAAAAAATTCATAAATCAGTTGTTTTAATCACAAATCTTCAGAAAAAATATTATTCAAAGTTTATTATTTACTTTCATAAAGTTTCAGACCTTAATATAGTACGTCTCGAGTATCTATCCAAAACGCCTCGACGATCACAAAATATGCGCACAAAGACAAAGGAGTTATATCTTTTAGAAGCAAGCCCGAAAATTTTCATAACAAATTTTATAATTTATTATGAAAATTACACAGAATTGTCTTTACTCTCAATTCATATGCTTTCATAAACAGGAAAAACAAATAACAGACTTTTCGAAAAAATAACAAGAAAAAGGCTAAAGCTCTAAAATTTATTAGATTATCAGTATCCTTTGCTAATTCTGACCACATGGACTTTAAGTCAAATGGTCTCGTGATTCACGAGTTGTAGAAGTAACTCTACTTTTGTGAAGTACTATAAGTGTACATCGCTATTTATTGATACTAAAGGTGCTTGTAAAAAAATTAATGGAACTTATGTTTTATGTTTTGATAACTGAGTGTTTTTAAATGTTAAATTTTATCTCACATCGTTGAGTCAGGCATTACATTTTCTTAATCTATATTTATGTTTCTACGAGCATTTATTAGAAAAAAGTCGGAATAGATTTTGATCTTTGATTTTGTCCGCCAACTAGACTCAATTTTGACGAGACGCATAGACTAGTTTTCTATTTAGCGATGGTCTTTTATAGTGAGATGATCTTTTCGAGAGACTTTTAGAACCTTTATTGAATCTGGCTGAACTTGAATATTATTCTTTTAAATAAACATTTACAATACATAATGTTCAAGAATCCTACAAAATATCATAGATAAAGGATTTTTTTTCCAAAAAAAAGTGGGTCTAAAAGATCAATCGTTTCGAGAATTTATATCAGAAAAGTTGTTGCTACGGTAATGTTGAACTAAAATTTTTTTAGTTATTTTTGACTTTGTATGATACAATCCATCGTTCATGAGTTTTTATGATCTTGAAAACCAACAGCAAGATAAAAGTATTGAACAACTTGCTGTAAAAGAGAATGATGTTTATAATATAGCTCGTGGGAAGAAGCTCTGTAATACAATGCAACAACGTTTATCAAATATTCATTCATCAATTCAAGATAGATCGATTCAAACCGGATCTTATTTAGCAGCAAATCGCGTTCAAAAACGCACATCTGTTGCGAGAACAAAATTCATTGTATGTATTTATAATGCAAATGAACAAGAAAAATTTTATTTTGAAGAAACGTTAACTAGTGCCGCTAATAGAGATGTGGAATATCGTTTTATTCCCTATCCATTAACATTTGAAACATGTCACTATAGTCAAGACGCGATTTGTGTTTGTATTTCAACAAGAGATCATTGTACAAGTGAAATACTTCGTCAACTGAATTTATTAGCAGTTCGACTTATTTATCTACGCGATTGTGCCGATTTAATATTTGCTGATGATGATCAAACAGTGAAACAGCAAGCACTCAAAAAATGTATTGATTTGAATGCAGTATCCCGGCTAAAATTGACACTTGCAAGCGTACCATCTCCACCCGAATCAATGTTAATCGAATATATAGTGACACTTGTCTTGACAATTACAAAAAATATTCATCGTTATTATACACGAATGCGTACACTGAACTTTTCATTAAATGGGCTAACTAGTATAGAACTTTATAAACGTAAAGTAGGGATCATTTCAATGAATAATCGAATTATACAAAAATTAAGTACAATTTTTGATTCAATGGGATGTACCGTAATTCACTGGGATCCTACAATCCATCCCGGAATGAAAAGTTCAGAGTTAATAAAAGAAAAACAAAACAATAGTCCTATACGAGGTATACAACGAAAAATATGAGAAAAAATGACGATGTTAGCATACACATTCTATAATATAGAATACATCATCAGATATTGAGCTTTCGCATTTTTATGCGCAAGGAAAGGAAAATGATTGTTTATCTTACATTAAGTTTTGTTAACAGAACTTGTATGTTCTCTTTTATCACTACTATTCTAGGAATAAGTATGACAAATACAAAGACTACAACAAAAGATGGCTCACTTGTTTCAAGTGAAGAATTGTATTCTCAATCTGACATAATTATTGTTTATTTACCACAAGATGAACGTACAAACAAATTAATTAATTATGATATATTTAATAAACTCAAAGAATCAGTTTCTTTTGTCATTTTGGGAAATACCAAAGTATTTGACTTCAATCAATTGCAATATGCTTTGAGACAAGGAAAATTAAATGCTATTTCATTTTCAACCATTACAGGAGCACAAGACTATATGAATACTGATTGTTCAAATAAAGCATTAAATCACGACGAATTATTACAAGTCATAGCACATCCAAATGTTATTTGTACGGGAAATGAATTTATATTTAATAATGATACATTTTTACATGCGAGTGCGCAGACATGTCTAGAAACCCTGTTAGATTTTGTTAATGGAGTATTCCCAATGAAAAATATTATACAACTGTAGAAAATCATCTTAACTATTACCGTTTTAAAAAAGAAAGGCGGCTAGGATGTATTTTCATATTAAAGCATTCTACCGTTATGTCGCATATAGAGCGGATATTTCGAAAGTCTTGATATAGTGACTTAGATCGGTTTGAAACTAAAAATAAACATCACCACGCGACTCAGCGTGGCCGATTACCCCTATCTTGACCCATTTTAGGATCACCCATGGTCAACTGGCCGAAATCGGAGCTCTCGGGAAAATGCGTATAGCTCCTGAATAGTATGAGATAGGGAGTTAAGACTGGTCTAGAATTGTAGATCTCGGTTCGGGCTATCGATTGCACTGTTTGGAAATCAAAATCCATCGTACGGTTCAGGAACGGCGGTCTCGTAGACTTTGCATCGAAAGGCTTACCATGATAAACCTTATCTGGAAGCCTAGTTTCCGCATACACTTACGTCCTCCGATGTTCTCTATCCAACGGTGAAAACCGCATGTCTCTACCTCTTTCCCTTCAGAAGTTATAAGCAATCTACCCAGCCGCCTTTCTTTTTTAAAATGGTAATACGCAGAAGTTTTATTTCTAACTACAACATATGTCAATTTTTATTAGGTTACTTATCTATGATCCGCTATTTCAGTGCAAAATAGGCTCAACTATCTTCTTCATCTAGATCTTTCAAAATTTCTTTTTGTTTTTATTTATTCTTGTTTTGACAATAACAGACAAAAAAAAAACCAATGAAAAACAATTTAAAGAAATATTTAATGAAAAAAAAAATGATACATTTTGAACTAAGACTGATATACTTTTCACAAACGTAAAAATGACCTTTGTTGAATAGATTATATATTTACATAAAAAGGAAATTCTTGCTACAAGAAAACCATAGGATAGACTAGGTCGCATAAAAAACGAAAATGACTTTGAGAATGTATATCGATTGTCATCTGTTATAGACACAGAAGATGAAAGACATTTATACGAAAAATTATACCTATACATCATTTTTTTCTTTGTTTCATACGTAGTTTTTCTAATATTTGACGAGCATCTGTTGGCTTTGCGCTAGAAATAAAAGAAAAAAAGATAGAAAACAAAAATGTAAAAATTGTCAATTATTCCACCCTTTGGAGAGTGATTGACGACTACTTACACTTTTTTTGTTTCAACAGTATCAACATCATCATCTATTTTCATTCGTTTTGTTTGATTATTTTCATCGTCCTTTTTTCTTAATGAATTCAATTTTGATCTTAAATCATTTGTTCCTGAGTTAATTGTAACCGTAAACGTTGTATCATCATCGATATTTTCATCATGAGTTTCAAGTTGATGATGTTCGTACTGGTCACTCTCTTCTTCATCAGTTGAATATTTTCTTTTAGATATAGTTTCTTCTAAGATTGATGGTTGCGCATGATTGTCATTATCATCATTTGTTTCTGCTTCTGCTGACTGTTTTGGTGGAAGAACAACTGTAAATTTTACATTTTCATCATCTTCATCTTGTTTTTCATTCTCGATCAAAACAATATCCGTTTCTTCTTCTTCAGTGTATTTTTCATCTGAAATTTCATCCTTTGTTTCTGATATTATCGGTTTTACAATAATAAAATCACGATACAACTGTTCTCGTTGTTGTTTTGATTTATTAGATGCTTGATTTAATTCACGTTTTTTTGAACGGGATATTAGTCCTTTCATGCCATTATAATTCGGATTACCATACTCTCTATAATATCTACTGTCTTTTTCTGCGCCACGAGGTTTTCGATCAGAAACAGATGTATAACGAAAAAATAATTGGGTAGAAGATGAAGTTGTGGATTCACTAATTAACGCCTTCAGAGACAAATTTGCGACTCGCCAGTGGCCACTAAAATATAAAATATGGTATAAAGTAAGTGTACATGTTATGTGGAGGAAAAATGTTGATGACAACGTTCTATCAACTGTTTCATATTAAACAAACAAAATTACTTACGGTGGTAATGGAACAGTTGTTTCAACAATTGATGGTTCTTGTTTATCATTTTCTGAGTCTGCTTTATTTTCTTCTTCTGATTGTTGTTTTTGCAATTTCATGGCATGTTCGTAATTGACTGGACGCCGATGACGGATTTTTGGTCCAACAGTTGATATGGTAAAAAGCATTTTTAACGGATTTATCGTATCATGCCAAAATACATTACCTTTAAGAGTGCAAAGAAAGTGAAATTATTTTAATTTATCGAGTTAGATATTTCTTACACGAATGATCACATATCCATTCAATTCCAATTGGTTTGTAACCTTCAAAACAGTTTAATATTTCTTGAGTGCTCATATTGGTAACACCCCTTACCAAAACACTTTCTGGACGATATGAACCAGAAAATGACGATGTATGAAAATCTTTCTCATCGATATCAAGACTATAAAACAGATACAGTTAATAGTAAAATATCAGTAGGTTATTTATCTTTGGTCTAATCTAGTTGATTATTTACCTTTTAAAAACAGAATTCATATCGTCTACAGTTAAATCAACTAGAGCTAATTCTTCGATTGATGGGAGGTCATATTCTTTTGTGTCCTAAAATGATTAATTATTACCATATTGCTTATCATTCAGTTTTTGTCGTAAATAAAGATACTTACAAATGGTATCATTTCGACATGATGACTATTAGGTCCATCACGGATATACACTTTGTGTTTCTGGAAGAAAACAATAAATAAAAGATGACATTATATGTATTTAATGCTTTCTAATGAATAGCAGTGTCCTTACATAGACATAATAGAATTTCTCTCTCAGAATCACACTTTGTCTTACTATAGCTCGGAAAACCAGTGCTTAAGCGTTTAGTTCAAGTTCATATATAATAGAATGCATTTACTGACAAAATACAGTACACTATATAATACCTCAATGATTGTAAATGTTTTTGAGTGTTGAGTTCGTTCTTTATTATCGAATGATGTTGAAAACGAAGTTTTAATTTGATTATTTTTTGTTTTCACTTCATTTGTGCCAACTGTACCACCATTAGAGATTACATTGTTATTTTTTTCTTCACCAATATCTTTTGAGTTTTCTGTTTTATTAGTACTATTATCGATAGCTAAATCTTGATCTTCTTCATCCGTATCCCATTCTATTTCATCATCTTCCATACGTACATCTTGCTGTTCAAGTACGTCAATTTCTAAGAGTACTTTATCTGATGACATCTGAAATATTGAAATTTTCTACATCCATAAGCACAAATATTTATGATTGAAAACAAAAGAAATCAACAAAAATATAAATAGATAATATAAAACACAGTTTATTAAATGTACATGACAAAACACATTCATCATTACAATTACCATTTCAAACTAAACGTATTTTTATTTTTTTCAATAGAATGATAGTTTGTAAACAAAACGTTATTATCTTTGTCATTCAGCTCATTCCAAATATCATATGTGTCTTTCACTTTGATTACGTTTTCTGGTTGACATACTGGTAATGATTCATAGGCGTTTGTTACTTTTTCAAGTAATTTTATTTGATCATCAGTTGTTGACGCACGAATTTGACCACCACCATTCAAACAACCTGAAAATAACATTATTAAATAACATATTGCAATAGATTGATTGCACATTCCAGATTACCAACCTGATGGACATGCCATTATCTCCACAAAATCATATTCACATTTTCCACGTTTGAGTTTTTGAACAATATTTTGAATATTTCGAAAACCATATGCATGAGCAAAACGAAGTTTATCTTCTCCATCAACTTTTAGCACTGTTTCACGAAAATCTTGATTTCTAAATTTAAAAAAAAAACGAATCAAAATCTATTATACGTTTTAGTCATGGAGCACTGAAGTATATACCTGATCGTTTTCAATTCGATTTTATCTTCAATATCGACATTGAATAGTTCTTTTGCTGCACAACGATAAACATATTCTAAATATCCTCCAGAACCACTTCCACGATGATTCAAATAAAGACCATTCTCACTTTTCATACAAAATCTATAAATTGAAGTAAATATAGTAGAATTTGTATTTGATCTTGATTTAAATTTCAACGTACGGTTCATCATATTCCATTTCATTTACATTCGCAGCATCAAATTTATCTTCTTCTAACCATTGATGGAATTCACCTATAGAAAAGAATATACATAATCAAATATAAAGAGAGATTAATTTAAGTACCGGTTGATATCACACAGTCAACATCATGAATATTTAAGTTTTCATCGTAAAACTCTTGTCTTGATGCTTCTAATTTTTTATCATAACACGGTTGAACTGTAAAATGATACAAATTATGTTCTGATATCGAATTGTTAATTTTCATAAAATAATTCTTAATAAATGAACCAAGAACTTGTTGTGGGGATTTAACTTTACTAATGTACGGTAGAATGTAAGAGCCTTGTGTCTTCTCAGCATAACATATCCAACCTAAAATAAACAAACAATAATAAATAAACAAACTTTACATAGTATAATCTCAAGGTAGACAATACCTGGACATTCTGATGTTAAAAGTGGTAGATACTGTTTATTATTTCGATAACGTTTGATAAATTCATTCTTAATTTCCATTAATGAAAAATTTCTTGCGTATGTGACATCAAACACATAGTTCACTCCTAAACTGAAACACAGATAATGAAAAAAAGTTAAATTCTCATAAAAAAGAGGTATTTTACATTTTTTTTAGAAAATTAGTTATTCTTCTTGCACAAACAGTTGGTTCTAAATTATATTTGACAGCAATTGATGATAAACTTTGTGGTGATATTGAACAAATAATCGTTTTAATATCACTGGATGTTGAATTCTAAGGAGAATAGACGAAAAGATGTATCCATTGAGAAACAGTTGGACAACTCTTCTTACATTATCTTTTAATGTTTGATTTAATTTTAAAATGTTCTGTGCTTCGTGATAATCTTGTTGATCAATAAGAATACTTTCTGCTGATGTTATACATCCACTACATGCTAGACAATCATTCAATGTTATTTTCGCTTGAATACGAGGCTCTTCCTTCTCATTAAGCCGTTTCTGAAAAACAAGATAACAATGATTTTTAAAAACACTATAGAAAAATTTACTTTTACCTTATTTTGTAATTTGATCATTCCATCATTTTCATCGCCAAGTTTCTTTTGAACTGGAATAATACATATCTGATAAGAATTTGGAAAAAAGCGATAAATAACAACTGTTATTCTGTTTTTTTATCTGACGTACCTGTGATGGTCCAATAAAATCGTCTAAATCTGTCAACTGCAGTGCTCCGGAAAAGCTTTTAGTCACCATTTCGCCGTTGTTCAGAGGAAAAACTTTCCAATCTAAAATAATTAATGAACTTTATTTCTATTTTCTTCAAAAACAGAACACATATACTTTTATCAATTCCTAATATGACGTCGATCCGCAAAATTTAGTTTCAACCAACAATCATCCAATGAGTAAAAGAAACACGAGGTATTAAATTTGGTACTTCTATTTGGTACTTGGTATAACAGGATAGAAAGAAAAGTTATTGGTTATATGTATATGTATAATTGGATAAACTGTGAGAGGAATTGTCAACGCGAATAATAGATGACTCTAGTTATAGAAAGCTAAAACGGATCAGAATGACAAATTCTACTTATTAGCATCAATCAAAGAATTATTAAAGAAGAGGAAACATAATTAGTTGACAAATTAAATAAAACAATTACCTGAATATCTAAAAACTTATTTAACTCATTAAGTAGCAGATTTTTAAATTTTGATTTTTCTAAATTTTGACGCATAAAAAGATGTATCGAAATAAAGTTTAAAAATAAAAGTTCATTAATATATTATTTTATGAAATTTTTAGGCTTTCAAACTTAGATCCCCCATAAATTTTCTTAGGCAATTTTCTGTCATTTGAAGGTCGTGTCGATTATCGTGCGAAGCAAATTTTGTGCTTTCTTCAATAATATGCTGCATAATAAAAATATTTAGCCATGTGAAAATAATAGAATCATTTATTTAATATCCTCAAATGGGAATCATGATACTTAATGAGTTAAATAGTATAACGTTGGAAAACCGAAGTAGTTGAAATTTTTTGTAAGTTTTTCTATTTTTTTCAGGTTTTTCTTGTTTTGTATATAGTAATAATTAATTTTCTTTAAATAATCCTTTGATTTGTCAATCTGATCTGCTATAACTTTCTATTATATAACGTCTACTATATACTATAGCTTTCTATTATATATGATGACTCTCTGAAACTGCATCGAATGATATATAATTCGACACATTTTGGAAAAAAAGTTTCGTCCTAAATTTTAGGCAGAATACCTGAGGGGTAGGGGTGGCACTTTACCTTTACTTTACTTGTAAATAGTAACGAACTCAATTACTCGTTACTAGTAAAAAAAAGTAACTAATCTAGTTATTTCGTTAGCAGTAACGAGCAACTAAGTTCGTTACTAGTTCAAGTTCAAATTTATTTTGCATAAGCAAGGACATCACAAAAGAAAGTAAACGTTTAGTAACTTATAACATCTGATAAACAGAAGCCTTAGTGATATCTGTATAACTAAAAACAAACAAAATAAGAGAGCATTCCCCAATGAACAAAGAGAAGATAAAATAAATACAAATAGAGTTGTTTAAGTCAAACCCAAAACTAGTAACGAAGTAACTAACTTTACTTCGTTACTTTAGTTACTTCAACGCCGAGTAACTAGTAAAGTCCCACCCCTACTGAGGGGGAGGGGACCTCAGGCAAAAATTTCTAGAGAAACTTTTTGTCTGACTTCCAGAGCAAACTTGAATCGGTGAATACCGTTTTTCAACATGCCGAGTCTGAATATCGCGGTCTCCCGGCTTGAATTGCGGCGAATAAAAAGTAGGTAGTTTCCATATGGTTCACGTTGACAATTCCTCTCACAGTTTATCCAATTATACATATACATACTTTTCTGTTCTGTTACACCCTTTGTTTCTTTATAGCTTCAAATAGCAGCTTCAAGGAGCCAGGATCAATGCGAATAGACATAGACAGCCTCTCCTTGCAGCTACTATTTGGAGCTAAAGAGAAACAACGTGTTACACCTAGGAGTGTGATCGATCTATAGAAATATAAAAGTTTTGGTTCATAGAATCACAAAATTCATCACATGCTTTTTCTTGAAACGGACATTGTAAATGCTTTGTCTGCAGTAAAATTCATGTTTTAGTTTAACGTAATGGAGACATATTAAAACCATGTTTGCGATAGTGCACGAGTCTCTACGAATTCATGACACATTCTTTTTCATCCATTTTTGTTGTTTTAATGAAATTTAAGAAGAATCTTTTCAGAGAAATACCTGCAGAACTAAAACGTCAAACTCCTCCTAATTATATAATGTGCTAAAACAGATAATCATAATGCTGAAATCTGATCCACGTTAGAGATTTGTTAGAATAAAAAATCGACAAAACTTCATAAATATTCTTATATAAACTGAAAGTCCTTTGGATTTTAGAAGGTCCACAAAATTTGCGTTACAGAACTGTTTCAACATTTCCTTTGACTGAGAGATTTGCACAAGCGTCGAAAAATCTTCATTCATTCACTGGCTCAAACAGAGTGGAATATATAAACTTAAAAAGTCTTTGTTGTTTTCTTGCTAGTCACTTTTCACAGGACCCTTTTTTTACCACTTTCAGCCCATAAATTAATCGAGATCACCGAGCCTCAATGCAGTGAGGATATTTATCGATTAAAGAAGGCGCTGGAACTTAAGCAAAATTTATTTTTGCGATATTTATACATGGTTGGATAGAGCTCATCAACGTCAACTTGAACAAGAATATGTGTGTTTTAACCTTTCGAATCAAAATTTTAATGTTAAAAATTTAAAAATACCTGAATTTTAAAAACTGGCTTATTTTTTAAAAACGAACGTAAAACTCGAACACAATGTGTTTGAGAACCTGAAGGTTTTTATTCTTGGATGCTGATTCCAGATATGAGAGATTGGTTTTGCAAAAAAACGAAAGTTTGACGGTGAAAACTGCAAAAGACAAATGAATTTTCTCAACAACGGACCAATATTTTCCAAAACCGATACGTAACTTTTTTCGTGCTATTATGGCGAGTAGAATGATATAAAAATATTGGCTTCATCTCGTATCTAGACTTGAAGCTTTTTGCGCCAACACGAATGGGATTTTAGTTATTAGTGAAAAACTAAAATTTTTTAGATCATATCATACTTGAATAGTATCGAAACACTATTTTTCAGGTTCAGTTTTTTACGGAGAACAAGAATAAAAAAATGTCAAGGTTCTCAAACACATTGTGTTCGAGTTTTACGTTTGTTTTTAACACTAGAATGCTCGGAAATTTCCATGACCTAGAACGCCCAAAGCGGTCATATTCTTACTGTGCTAAACATCAAAGATGAATCTTAAAAATGAATATACAATCTTGTAGAGAATTAAATTGTCTATCATTTGGTATAGTAAGGAATTTTTTTTTCTGAAACGAAAGTATTGTATGCAGTTTGCTTTATTAGGGATAAAAATCAAAAAACGGTCAAAATGACCGCTACGAGCGTTCTAGTGTGATAAATATAAATATATAAATATCGCATAATATAATATATATATATATATTGCATAATATAAAAAATATAAATATCGCAAAAAGAAATTTTGCTTAAGTTTTAAGTTTCTGGTGCATTACTTCTTTTACAATTATCAATAAGATTTTTATGAAGAAGTTAGACAATCGTCAAGTTGGATCAGAAATCAACAATTGTCTTCCTAGACAAAACACTCGAAGGAGATGACATCTCCTTTGATAATCAAGTGCATGATTCATTATTGTTTTCAGTCAGACATACTCTACAAAAAAAAAAATCAACAATATCATACAAAAATGAACAAATATAAATGCAGGATAGAGTATTTTGTGGTAGAAAACATGTATTTACACACTGTTATAGAAAATGAGTATAAAAATCTAGCAAAATAAACTTTTTTTTATACAGACTGAACACAATTTGTAATCTATTGTCGTATTGAGCATTTGTTTTGTTTTGTAATATATATAGCACATACTGTTGTACTGATTCTATGCTTTTAAGTACCAACATTCAAATAAGACGTTGTTTCAGAAGCAGATTGATCGATAAATGGAATATTATCTAAGAATTTTACTGTATAAGGATGAACACCATTCATTAAATAATAACCAATACCTAGTGCTAATGAGAAAAAACGAAAAATTGTACAATAAAAATGATTAAAATAATGAAAATAGTTCACCTACCTATAGAAGCAGAAATTAAAAAACCAGCAAAATCATTCATTAGCATCAGCATAAGAACATAACTTAGCGCTACTTGAAGAAGATGAACAAAAGATTGAATTGCATGAAGAATTATTCTAAATAAAATATGTTAAAAATAATGAATAAAAGTTCAACAATGTTTACATTCGCAAGATAATAATTTTTAATTGATGTCAATATTAATAGTTAACTTTAAAAGAAAACAGACTAACCTTTTTCGATAAATAGTCGATGGTAAAACATTTGTTAATATAAGTTCTTGTGGATGTCGTTTTGGATAATGACGTAAATAGAGTTCAATCGCTTTACTCAATTCGAGAAGTAAGGCAAATGCGACACACGAAAAAATAGCACCGAGACAATCTGAAACAATAATTACGATAACAAATAAATAACTAAAAAATTAAATAAATATATAAAATACCTCCAATGGTACTGATATTGAGATTTTTTAACATAAAATCATTTTGTAAATAATTGAATGTAAACGTCATGCTTATCTAAAATTGTTTATATATAGTTTATAAATACTAGATTTTTTTCATGGTACTATTCCTCTTTTTCATTCTTAAACTCTTTCTGATATAAAAGCTACATTTCAATAGTTAAATAACGCAATTATAGGCGACAGCTTTGTTCGTTTGATTATTAACAGTAATTTAACACTTAGTATTCTGCCCATTCATTCAAAATGAGCAACGTAATACACACTTTACTTTCAATCAAATGTCTCGATTACATATTAAAAAATATTTGTTAATCTTTGTGAAACAAACTAATATTGCCTGTGGTTTAAAACTTGAAGTTGGAATATGTGTTATCTTTAGGTATAACAATAATAGGTACTTGAACTTTCTTTCTTCAGATTACAGTGTAAATATTCTAATGACAGTATTAAAAATAACAAAAGAAAAGAAATTTTGAAATTTAACAGTAGAAACAAACAGAGCAAGACTATTTGGCTCTTCGTTTTATTGAACTTAAAAAATATCGTTCATATGTACTAGTCTATAAAACTTTCTTTGTAAATCAAATTGACCAAAATTAATAAAGACAAAACTTTCTTTAGTGAAGCATATCATAGAACAGATTTTTTTTAAGTTAAGAAACTAATTTAAAATAATGGAAAACTTATTGAATGAATTTACCATCTGATACAAATGATCAATAAAATGATTTGTTTCATTTCTCTCTATTCTAATCTGCACACATTTTCAATTCAGAATAATACATTATAATAAAAGAAAATGCATCAAACCATGATGACATTTATTAATATATTGAAAATAAATTTTTTTTTTCAAAAATAAAAATGGTAAACGAAGAACAATACTACCATTTTGATCACTGTACAGATATAACAAATACAATAATAATAACATAAGAAACGAACATAGAGACAAATAATTACTGAAGTTGAAAATGGGACACACAGTAACATATTCTAATCTTCAATAAATTCAACTTAATAAGTTATATTGTCATTATTATCTGATGTCATATGCAATATGAACTTTCAACAAATTTTAACAATAACTGTTGTACGTTATTTATTTTTTTCTGTAATCTTTTGATTTACTCACGTTCGCGTAAATAATATTCATCATGAATCTCTCTCAAAATCTTTTAAGCTATTGTGGATTCTAAACAATTCTTTCGACTATGTGAATGTACATTATTCAATAATCTGGCTATTAACGGTAGTTCATGATGAAAAACAATGCTTCAGGCATAGCAATCGTTCTAGAATACACCAAATTCACGCTTTTTTAGTATTATTATCAAATCAATAGTCTATTAAAATTCCAGATAAGTTAACATTTTTAAATAATGGTCAAGTTTTTTGTTTTTTCCATGATGGTAATATCTCGTCTTCCTCCTCATTTTCACTTCCCTCATTTTTTGTTTGTGGTGTATTTTGAAATTGTATTGGTTGAAAGGTATTGGTTGTGTTTGTTCATAAGCGGGTACCACCCAATATGGATCTATTTCCGCATATTTCAGCATATTTCAATAATGCTGCTCTTGAATCTTCTTTATGATCAGATAATTTTTGAAGAATAATATTTTTAATAATATAACCACTTAACGTTGAACCATGTGCATCTAATCGTTCACCATGTTCTGCACCACTCATTGGTAAATCGGGACGTTTCGATTTGACCGGATCTTCACGTTGCTTCATTCTAATCACCGATAAATTTCGAGCACGATCTTGTTGATAAAGTGATAAAGCATGAGGATTAATAATATTGGCATTAATAAAGCAGTCGTTCGCTTTTTTTGTCATGGTTCACGATTTGCGAATGACAATGCTCTGTTACGGAAGCGAACGGGATCATAATAAATTTTAATTATGCCATTACTTGTTGTACAAAATATTTGATTCAACTTTGGACTCCATAGTGTACGAATAACACTCGCATTATCACTCACTTGTAAATGACAGACATCTTCTAGATTTTAACGATTGAAAAAATATAATCCTCCCACATTTGTTTCATTATTTTCGTTATCGTTTGTTTTCTTTCGAGTTGATGTACCTAAGAAATGAACAAACGATAACAATTATAATCAAGTTGGTGGAGAAAAAAAATGTTTTATTCATGTACCTCTGATTAAATATCTATCATCTAGTGAAAATGCAATATCTCTCATTGGAAATCGATTGTGTAAATTACGACGTGCTGATAAAAAAATTTTCAAAATATTGAATATCCCATATTTTTATTGTTTATTTTTATCAGCTGAACGCGATGCGATATTAATATCATTGTAGGACCATTTTATTGAAGTGACGAGTTCGTTTGGCTCATGTGTATGACGACAGAGAAATGTAACATTAATAAATGGTCGTCGTCGATCCCATATTTGAATACTACCATCATCACATCCTACCGTTATTAAATTTATGTTATTCGATGTTCCACTATGATGATTATTATGATATGTGCACGAGGTTGTGCTTAATTTTTTTCCTTCTTCAGATTTTGTTTTTGTTACACATGTTTGTTGTTGACGTTTATAGACGGATCACAAACAAATTGTACCATCATTTGAACATGTCATAAATTCACTCAAATCTTTTGGATCCCAACATCCACTATTTAATATGGCCACGTGTCCTTTTGTTCAAGTTTGATCAATAATATACATGTCACCATGAACACATTCATAGATTTGCTTATCTACAATAAAAAACCATAAATATTTTCTGATTATTAGATAAAATATCAAGTATCTTGTTACCTTCTCGATCCAAAACTTTTGCTGACAATTTTCACTAATAATTAATATCATATCAACCACTGGACTATATTCAATTGGTTTTAGTTGATGTGCTTCACATGGTTGTAATGTACGAAACGATCTTAAAGTTTTATCTACATCTTCATTTCAAAATTAAAGTCACCTGTAAAATAAAAAGACAAATATTAGCTAAAGTATAAATAATAACAATGTGACAAAATCTGTTATCATCTGAGACCATTTGGATCTATTGTCAAACATGACACTGATTTTGTACCCTGTATCAAGTCGATGTCATATGATATGGGAAAATGAGGTCCATCGTCACTCGTCTCATCATTATTAGAATCTTCTTCATCGGATTCATCATCAGTGGTTGTTGTTGCCGGAAAAATTGATGGGCCAAAACCATCATCTTCATCTCGCTTTTCATCGTCTAATTCATTTTTCGATGGTAATTTTTCAATACTATTATTTGTCGATTTCGAACTGGATCGAAAATTATCGATTCTTCATCATCGTCATCACTACGATGTACATTATTTTTTGATTTTGATGTTGTTTTACCAGTATTTTCAGCTTTCATTCTTAATTCTTTTAAACGTATTTCATTCGATTCAATTTCTGCTATCCAGTCGACTGTTGTTGTGTTCTAAGGTGTGCTTCATTAATTAGGGTATCTAAATCAAATGTACGAGCGGTTTTCTTCTCTGGTACATCACCATCAATCGGATCATCTGACATTGTTCTACTCAGATCAATTTTAATCGAAAATCAGTTACCATCGACAAACAGCATATATATATTTCTGAAAAAAGACACTATAAGAACTCACTTGCGAGAAAAAAAAATTATTTTCTGTTATTGTGCAGTTTTTTTGTATAGAACAATGATTTAAGAATGGTTGTCAAGATAATCCTGGTAATCAAGATTTTGCTTCATCATACGGGTCTAAGTCTTTTAAATTAAAGTAAATTTTCAATGAGCTACTATTTCAATTCATTTCATAAATATTTGAAATTTTGCTTTCTAAATGTTAATTCAAAATATGTTTCCGTGATTTCTGTTTCGATCTACAAAAAATAACTTCTATTGAATCTTTGTTCGTTAAAGTGAATATGTTTATTGAATTATTAGTCTATGTTGTCTATGTCCAGTAGTTTATTGGTCAACATGTTTTCTTTTTGTTTTCATGACCCCTTTTAATAGAACATAATATTAAAACGTAGAATAAGATAGACAGATATCTAAGAATAGCTAATAAGAAACATCGCAAATAAATGAATAAAAAAAGAAAAAAGACGAAAAGAGACCGGGTAAAAGAAACCAACAAACAAACACCAATATGTATTAAACTATAATCAGATAAATTTGTTCTGTACAAAAAAACAATGACGATGAGCTCGGCTATGAGAAAAAGTGTGATTATTAATTTTTTTAATATAGATATTAAGCCGAACAATCAAGTTTGAAAAAATAAATAATCAAACATTACATAATAAAAAAAGAAGAAAGAACTTTTTTCTTACATTGTCACATAAACAATTCAACTACATACAAAGAAAAAAGAATTGAACACTGAACCACACGAAATACTCTGTTCTACTAAACGAGCTGAAAACAAGGATAGATACTATTTTTGATACGCGAAAGAGTTTCAAAAAAAATAATAACAACAACATCAGATACACTGCAGCAATAAGAAATGAAAAAAAACAACAACACGAACATCTGAAGACAACTACATATACATTCACCGAAAATAAAAAAACTAACAGCATGTTCTTTTACTTGTCAGTTATTTTTTTATGTCATTCATCGTTGTCGTCGTCTCTTTTTCTCGTTTTAATTTTAATCGTCGCTCTAAATCATCCATTTCAGCTTGTAATTTTAAGATATCGCCTTCATTAAACTCGCCAACCTCTAAATCATCATCATTCGTTTCATCATCTGTTTGATCAAATATATCGCTAACATCAATGTCTTCGTCATCCTCTCCGAATGAATTCTCAGTCTCCTACAATGATATAAATATTTTCATTAATGATGATTCTACACTATAAGCGACAAAAAAAACTTAAATATAATACGATGTGTTTAAAAGTGCAGATATTGGAAGTTAAAAGTCAATAAACATGAATACCAGACAGATTTTCTCCTCATGTGTTATTGTTTTCTTGTTCTAAATAGACAGACAATGTCGCTATACCTGAGTTTGTTCCGGTAGAGACAATCGATCTTTTTTATTATTATTCATTGTTATCGACGATGTACCATAACCACCATTTGATGATGAAGACACAGGCGATAATGAACTAAATGACGAGCAGGCAGGTGTTGGCTGTTGAATAATAACAGAATTATCACTTGGTGGTGGCGGTGTTATGGTATTTGTTGTTAAACTTTTTACTGGATCACCATCCGTTTTTTGAACAAATCTGACAGTTGGAATAACTGTTGATGGTGATGAGTGAAATTTAATAGATGTTGACTCATTTGCTGACACACGAGACGTTAATTTAAATTTAGGAGATATGGAACGAATTTTTTGGTTATTATTTTGATGCGATCGTCTAGTTGTTGATGAATAAAAGTTTGTAGATGATGAACGATGTAAATTATTGGATCGAATCTAAAAGTAATTTTAATAAAAATATCAGATGATTGACTAGTTCATTGTCAATTATCTTGCCCTATCGTCAATTGTAGATGAGTGGACATGTTTATTATGACTAGACGAATTTGTTGTCGCTGATGACGACAATTGGCGATGAATATTCATTGTCGATGATCGATTTTTTTCTTTATTATTATTATTATTATTATTCTCCACACATTTTCCTTTTGTTTCTCGACGGTTTGATGAAGAGGACGACTGTTTACTGTTGATATCTAAGTAATAAAAATTCAATAAGATTGATTTTTTCTATGCATTATTTTTAAAAGTCTCTTCCATGTCACGTTCTCCACACTTTTCAATTGTGTTAAATAGTGAACAGAGACGTTACTTACGATTGTTACTACGTTACTTACGATTGTTACTATCTGATGTCCGCAGTTTATTTCTACTGTTAGACTTGGATTGTTTAATCGATGTTAATGTTTTTTTCATTTGATCATTTCGTGCTTTCATGTACACTTTCATTTTATCCAATTTTTGTCTCAATTTACTACATAACATTTTGATTTGTTGTTGATTTTCTTCACCACTATCAGCACTACTCGTTCCATTTGTACTATCTAATACATCATCAGTGGTTGTATCGTTTGATTTTTTTTTATTTGTTTCATCTTCTAGTCCTTTGATTTCCATTTTTGTTGTAATATAATCAATTTGTAAATTAACACGTCGCTCATGTTTTTTCAACGTGTCTAGTTGTTGTTTTAATTTTGTACGTTCATGTTTCAATAATTTTTTATTGTTACTATTAGATGTCATTAATCTTTTTTCTTTATCTTCAATTTGCTGTGTAACATCATGTATTTTTTTATTTGTAGTTTGAGTTTCTTTTTGTAGCACAACTAATACTGACTGCGAATCACGATGATCGGCCAAGACAGGATACGGTAATTTTATTTGGTGTTGTTGTTGTTGTGATTGATGAAGAGGTTTTTTGACGGAGGTTTCTGATCTTGATGCATGCGGCTTTGTACTAGATTGGCCAAACGAATCAGTCGACAAAGAAATACGTTTGTTTGGTGTGTCTAATGGAAGTCGTTTTCGTTTTCCATCGTATTTTGAATAGGATTGATCAAATGATATTATTGAATTTGAAGATGAACTTGAAAACGAGCTATGAGAAGATGTAGATGAAGTTGAAGAGGATCTTGAACTGGTAGAACTTAGGGAGGAGCATGAAGAATTTGATCGACTACTTTTTCTAATATTATCACTAGAAGAATCCATTGGTGATTTCTGCTCATATGATGAATAAGACGTTTTATAATCGGTGTAAGAAGGCATTGATGCAGTATGATGATTGCGTTGTTTGTCAACAAATAATGAAGCCATACAATAAGAGGGTAGACCGATGGATCTAAAAAGACAGATTGATTGTATATATTATACGGATCGCTATCTTATAAGTCTCCTTCCATCCTCCAAAAAAAACACTGAAATTATTATCTTTTAGCCGCTGAAAGAAACATTTTTACGTTCACAAAAATAACTAATACATACCTGCTGACTTTGAGAACTAAACCAGTTTTTAAGTCATTGTTATTAAACTAAAATAATATAATAATTCATAAAAAATAATTTGTTCTCTTTTCTCCACAATATCCATCTAAAACGAGACAGTTCTGGTACACATTGTTCAGAATGAAGTGTAAGAATGAGAGAGAGAGAGAGAAAAAAAAACTATTAAGGTGATAATAAAACTTAAATACTCAGGAAATCTGTTTGTTCATTTAAGAGAAAAAGGTAGAACAACAAGTAGAAAGAACATTGGTACAATATATAGCAAAACTCGAAACAGAAAAACTAAACAGTATAACAAGTACTTGAAACAAATCGTATCATATACATTTTAGATAGGAAAAATAAAAATAAACAAACAATGACTACGGCAAACCCTCGATCTGGTATCAGATCGTGAGTGTTTAAAGTTATCTACATAAAGAAATTATACTAACAAAAACCGTCATTATCAAAACGAGGACGAATCGCTTTTTTAATAAATCACTAGCAAATCAACGACATCGAACGTAAATTCGCGTATTATATGGAATTCACATCTAGATAAAACATTAATAAATGTCGCTTTACATTTTGCTTATCACTTATATAAAAAAAAGAAAAATGCAGTATAAAAAAGGTGGAGTAAATAATGATGTTTCGGTGAAACATCTGAAATCTTGATTTTTCGTTTTTCAGAAGCCCGATAGAAACTTGGACAACTTTTCTGTCATAAATCTTTAAAGTTTTACAAAATTAATGCATAAACCAAGAATCTGCATGATTTACGAGTAAAAATACTTCCTGTCAGATTTCCTTGTTTCCTATTTCTAACTAAACTAACACTGGAATTGAATCCTGAGAAGGTAGTTACCGGGATAAAATCATCGAATTATTCTAGATTAGCAACTGTAAAGTATCGTGTTTAACGAAACGTATGATGTTGGTACTGCTAGTGATACAAAGGATACATTGTTCTCTGTTTGTTGTTTTTGAGTTGAAAATGATGAAAATGTTCGTTCAACTCGTCTTGTCGGTTTTCCTAAATAAGTAAAACGGTTTAAACTCGGTAATATTAATGTTACTTTGGTATTTTTTGATGTCTGTATTTTATTGTGTTGTTGTTGCTGTTGTCCATTATGTTTAATAGTTCCATCTTGTGACTGTGGTTCTTGTTGCTCCTGCTTCAATTTATTCTCGTTCCAATTATCAATATCAATTAATGAATTGTCTTCATCAAATAAGCCTCCTCTCGTAAAATTACTCATATCACCACCATCAATTGATAAATTATTGTCGTCGCTGTCGTAATCATCATCGTGTTCGTCGCCACTTAATTTCAGCAGTTCATTAATATCATTATGAGTTAATGAATTAAGAATTTTTCTAGCTTGAATTAGATTATCTTCTGGCGTTGAGATTACTGGTGTTTTTGGTATTGTTGATGATTGTGTAGTAAACTGTTCGAAAATTGATGAAAACGACTTTGATGTAGGTGTTATGGGAGTTGTCGTTTGTTGTTGGTTATTTTCAAAGGTTTTTGGATGGTGTTGTTGAGATAATAAATTAGAATTTCCATGAAATGTTGAAAGAAAATCAGCTAAATTCGGATGCGTTGAAGATGATGAGTTATTCAATAGATATCTGTTCATTAATGGATTCAAATTTGTATTATCTGCAGATAGAAAGTTTATCATATTAAACGGAAACATAGGTGGACCTGTTGCTGGAGGTGATGGATTAACAACACTACCATTTTCATTTTCATTTTCATAATCCATTGATTCTGGCTCGATGCTCAAGTCTAAACAAATAAATTATCTGTATAGCACGTTAGTAAACCGAAAATAAAAGCCAGGCTTTCTTTTGAACTGCTATTATAGAAATAGATGATTTCTAATTAATGACATCAAATAAAAGAAGTGACGCAGCACTCGTAGCAACTTTAACAGGGAAAAAAAATAAAAATATCTTCACATATTGTATCAGTAACTTCAAACTCCATGTCCTCAACTCTCTTTCCGTAAAGATCATTACCTTCTGTAACATTTGTTTTATTGTTAGAATTTACATTAATACCAAGCTTTTTTTGTGCTTCAAATGTTAGCGCTTTCAATATCGGATTTGTTTCCATTAATGAATTATTTAAAAAACTTTGCTCTAATTGCATAGCAACTTGAAATTTCAAATCATCATTTCGGTCCAATAAATTTTCTTTTATTTCTGTTGTAAAATCATTATTATTTGTTTTCTTGTTGTTTTTCTTCTTTTTTCGACGTTTTCGATTTGTTCGCGTGGCTGTCGTAGTCGCTCCGTCTGTCTCCATTTTTTTGCTCTCTAGCTGTGATTTGTTCGTTGTCGGACCAACATTTAATAAATTAGTAACACGTGATTTAATGGTGTTTAATGTTGATGGCATCAATGTACCCATGGGTGGTGGTGGAACAGAGAAATCAAAATGATAATGGGATGATGGTGGCAATTTTTTAAAATCTGGATCTGATATTTGGGCATTTGGTACTGTACGTATGTCACTTTGTGATGAGCAAACAGGTACTTGTGGTTGTTGTTGTCGTATAACTTCATTCCGACGATGTTTTTGTTTTTGTTTATCTTCATCATCCATTTCACTCTCTGAATCAGTATGAAACATTGTTTTTCTTCCAGTCACTTTTAACAAATCTTTTGGTGATAATTGTTCTTCTGCTGACTCGTTTGTTTCATCAACATTATTAATTTCTTTTTCGTGGTATTGTGTCGATTCAAATGAATTATTGTGATTTGTTGTTGCATTTTCGTTTAAATAATTTCTGTTTTCTATTTTCATAAATGAATGTAATTTATGCACATCTTTAATTAACGATTGCATTTTTTTCTTTGCTTGTTCTTTCTCTCGTTGTGTTTTACATTTTGTTCGTTTTAGTTTTTCAATTTTAATACGTCCATTAATATATTCAATTTGTTTATGCAAACGTTTTATTTGCTGCTGCATATTGTCATAATCATTATTATTCGTAGCATTTGTTTGTTCAAATAATAAATGATTGCATTTTTGTTCTGATTGACGTAATTTATCTTTTAAAATACGATTTATTGTATCTAAATCGCGATTATCATTTATAACAGGATAAGGAAATTTGATATTAGCAAAAGGAGTTGATGGAGTTGTATGTTCATTGAGTGCTTCTTGTGTAGCGAACGATGTTTGTTTGATGAGTGTCGATGGATCACGTTCGTATGGCATACTACTATCGATAATATCACGATCTTTTAATGACAAACGATTTAAATTTGACGGAGAACGTGTGGGACTACGATTATTTAAAGTTGAATTATCCGTTAAATCCAAATAAGATGTTGAACGTTGTTGTGAAGATTTCAGTGCTGCTTTTAATCCACGACTCGTTAATGCAGATGTCGGAATTCCACCCGTACCAAATTGATCGAAATCATTAAGTTTAATACTATCACTGGGTTCGTCCAAATCGCGATATAATTTTTGACTGAATGAAGTACTGAAAGAAAACGAATATAGCCATGAGAAACAAAAGTGAGAAAATGGTTCATACAAAAACACATTGAATTAAAAAAGACAGATTTGGTCTGATAAACTACACATTCTTCATCTTCAAAGATGAAACATCATTCAGGCAGGCATTGTTACACATAAAAAACAGGTAGAAAGATTTTGTCAAGAAATCCCATCATACTTGGCCTTTTCTGACTTCTTGTTTTCTTGTGGTGGTGATGTTGATTGCGATCTTGATCTACTCCTAGAAGATGATGTTTTTAGTCTCTGTCGATGTTGTGACCGCCTAGTAGGGCGAGTATGATGATGAGATGATTTGTGACGATGTGTTTCGGGTTGACGTTGCGAAATAGAAGGCTGGTTTGTCCGTTTTTCTTGGTTACTAGGTTCTTTTAAAGTAGAATTTTCAGATGCTGCTGTGACTGTCGTTGTAATCTGACGTTCTGGAGTTGGACTATGGCTCAAACGTGCTTTTATATTTGTGATCCGTGTTTGAACAGTTAGACAACGTTCACGCATATTTTTTATTTCTTTTAATAAACGTTTTTTAGCTTCGATATCAGCATCTTTCATTTCATCACGTAATTTTAATGCTCGTTTAAATAAATTTGTACGTTTTTCTTTCAATTTTAAATATTCTTGCTTTGGACTTAAACGTGCTGTTTCATTGTTGTCAAAATCATCTTCATCCTCTTTTGTGATAGTGACTTCATTGTTCGCTTTTCCTCCATCTTCTTTTTCTTTTTTCCTATTTTCAGAATCTGAACCGTCTTCATCACTTGTATCGCTGCTATCCGAACTGGACGCATTCGATGATTCACTATCGTCATCACTCGAACTCGATTCTTCCTCGTCTTCATCATTCTTTTTTTCATTTGTCATGTCATTTGGTTCTTCTTTCATTGTTTACTACCATAAACAAAAATAAAGTTTAAGATTATGCGAACGAAAGATATTTGCTTAACTTACAATTTGTGGATACGGTTTTATTATCGAAAAACTAAAGTAAAATATGAAATCTGAAAAAGCAAACAATAAACAATCAAACGAGTTGATTGTAAGAAATGTAATTTGATCTATCGACTGTAAAATAAGCCACAAGCTATGATTAAACGGTTCAAACATCAACCCGCTATGTTATGTCAAGAAACAGTTTCAAAGCTATAAAAAAAAGCATAGTTCGTTGCAGTAGAGATAATATATTAATTTTCATTGATTATGTAACTTCTTTCAGTTTCCAAAATGATTAAGTATAAGAAGATAAGGATAAAAATTCATAAGGAATAGTCGGATTATAAAAACCTACGCAAAAGCGCAAGATTAATCTATTTTCTGTTACGTCTGTTTTTCGCGTTTTATAGTAATGGTGATGTGATAATTAACTTTATTGATTTATGGAAGCAATTAGGTAGCAGGTGGATCACGAATCAAAATTTCTCCTGTACCTCCGTCATTGATGTCCTTAGCAAACTCTGGCTAAGTTGGCTTTTAGATCAAAGAAGTTTAAAAGTAAAATATTTACACCTGTCTATAGTTACAAATAGAGCAACAATGATAGGGATCTCTACTTTCCATGTATGAATATTTCCCACTTTCATTGGTGAGATTACTACAGTGCGTCTCGTAGAACAGAAAAAGATGTAGTGATCCATAACAGACAGAGATCACATTTACGATTCATTCTCATCATGAATGTAGCTGTCTTCACTAAACAATCCAGGCCAGTATCATACCGCAGTTATTGCTTTACAATCAATTAACTGCTAAAAAAACTTCATACCGACAGAAAATAAAGAGAGTCACTTTTTCGTATTCAGCACACTCGATAACCCAGAAGATTTTCTATCTTTGGCGATCCCGTCAAAATCCTCAGTTACTAATACATATTGACTCCGAACTAAGTCGAAATTCGGATACAGCATGTCATTTTATGAGTAATTTAGTACTTTTCTCCGTTCCGGACCCTAGTCAGATGATAGGATTTTGACGGGATTTCTGGAAAACCGTCACAAGAAACACCATCTGGCCAAAGTCAATACCCTGCGCCTTTTGTAGCACTAGTCGAGTGGTGTGTGGACTAACAAGATCTCGAAGAACCAACGGGTAGTTTTCGAGAGAGGAGACCGGGAAGGGCCAAAATAGGTCTCACGGCTACGCTTACCATAAAGAAGTAAAAAGTGCTAGAGACTTCATTGTTGCGTCATATGACCAAACTTGGAAGCCGTTTTCATTTGAATATAAATAAAGTTATGTTTTGTTGGGTTTT